TATAATTAGAGGTGGTACATTACCTGACGACTGATGACCACTTTCACACTCTGTGTCAATCACACATAATTAGAGGTGGTACATTACCTGAGGACTGAGGACCACTTTTACACTCTTTTGAGTTCTAGGCAGGAATGGAGATTGGGGGAAATACTTTGAAAATAGAAACTGACAACATTGCTGAATACTGAATAAACACCAAACAACAAATAACTATATTTATATAGGTTATTAATGGTAACAACACATACCTATCACTCACTTTACTTCCTTTCTGACATCAATGTCAAGGTCATCAGCAAGTTCATGACCTTGACTTCCATGTCTGTCATTTGTAAAATGTGTGATACATGGTGTACATCCATACAAGTTTCACAGTAAGCCACTGATAACTGTCTGTCTTGCAGTTTGTATATAAAGAGCTCTACAGGCACTGGTATAAAGCAGTGACCAGACTGTGGCCAGTGAGTGACCACTACCCCTCACAATAAATACCCACCTGTCCTTGATGTATCGCATCATACCAAGAGCTACAATTTTCATAGTGGCTTCAATGATGAAAACGCTAGTGAAAAAGTAGTTGAAGATCTTCAAAGCAAATTGCAGCTCCTGAAATAAAAGCCAATTAAAAAAAAAGTTAACTGAGATATGGCAATACTCTCAATAATACAATCTAAGGAAAATATGTTTAATTGGCAATGGTATATGACACTCGCAATATTACAATCTAAAGAAAATATGTGACTACCTGTGTTTTGTTTGTGTCTCTGACATCTTTCACCCAGTCAAATAATGTGTCTGTATCTATGATGTGACTACGTGTGTTTTGTTTGTGTCTCGGACATCTTTCACTCAGTCAAATAATGTGTCTGTATCTTTGACGTGACTGCCTATGTTTTGTTTGTGTCTCTGACATCTTTCACCCAGTCACATAATGTGTCTGTATCTATGATGTGACTACCTGTGTTTTGTTTGTGTCTCGGACATCTTTCACCCAGTCAAATAATGTGTCTGTATATTTGATGTGACTGCCTGTGTTTTGTTTGTGTCTCGGACATCTTTCAACCAGTCAAATAATGTGTCTGTATATTTGATGTGACTGCCTGTGTTTTGTACGTGAATCTGACATCTTTTACCCAGTCAAATAATGTGTATGTATCTATGATGTGACTACGTGTGTTTTGTTTGTGTCTCGGACATCTTTCCACCAGTCAAATAATGTGTCTGTGTTTTTGATGTGACTGTCTGTGTTTTGTTTGTGTCTTTGACATCTTTCACCCAGTCAAATAATGCGTCTGTATATTTGATGTGACTGCCTGTGGTTTGTACAAGAATCTGACATCTTTCACCCAGTCAAATAATGTGTCAGTGTCTTTGTTATGACTGCCTGTGTTTTGTTTGTGTCTCTGACATCTTTCACCCAGTCAAATAATGTGTCTGTATCTTTGATGTGACTGCCTGTGTTTTGTACGTGAATCTGACATCTTTCACCCAGTCAAATAATGTGTCTGTATCTTTGATGTGACTGCCTGTGTTTTGTTTGTGTCTCTGACATCTTTCACCCTGTCAAATAATGTGTCTGTATATTTGATGTGACTGCCTGTGTTTTGTACAAGAATCTGACATCTTTCACCCAGTCAAATAATGTGTCAGTGTCTTTNTCTGACATCTTTCACCCAGTCAAATAATGTGTCTGTATCTTTGATGTGACTACCTGTGTTTTGTACATGAATCTGACATCTTTCACCCAGTCAAATAATGTGTCTGTATCTTTGTTGCGACTGCCTGTGTTTTGTTTGTGTCTCTTACATCTTTCACCCAGTCAAATAATGTGTCTTTATCTTTGATGTGACTACCCGTGTTTTGTACGTGAATCTGACATCTTTCACCCAGTCAAATAATGTGTCTGTATCTTTGATGTGACTGCCTGTGTTTTGTTTGTGTCTCTGACATCTTTCACCCAGTCAAATAATGTGTCTGTATCGTCGTGTGACTGCCTGTGTTTTGTTTGTGTCTCTGACATCTTTCACACAGTCAAATAATGTGTCTGTATCTTTGATGTGACTGCCTGTAATTTGTTTGTGTCTCGGACATCTTTCACCCAGTCAAATAATGTGTCAGGATCTTTGATGTGACTACCTGTGTTTTGTACGTGAATCTGACATCTTTCACCCAGTCAAATAATGGGTCTGTATCTTTGTTGTGACTGCCTGTGTTTTGTTTGTGTCTCTGTCATCTTTCACACAGTCAAATAATGTGTCTGTATCTTTGACGTGATTGTCTGTGTTTTGTTTGTGTCTCTGACATCTTTCACCCAGTCATATAATGTGTCTGTATCTTTGATGTGACTGCTTGTAATTTGTTTGTGTCTCGGACATCTTTCACCCAGTCAAATAATGTGTCAGTATCTTTGATGTGACTACCTGTGTTTTGTACGTGAATCTGACATCTTTCACACAATCAAAATATGTGTCTGTATCTTTGTTGTGACTGCCTGTGTTTTGATTGTGTCTCTGACATCTTTCACCCAGTCAAATAATGTGTCTGTAT